GGTAACGCCTAGCAACCTCCACTGTGGTTGCTAGGTGGAGGTTGCTAGGCAGTCACATTCCACAAAGCAGTGGAATATGATGTAATTTTTTTAATGGCTCCTTTTCCAAAAAACATTATCTTATTGCCAAAAAAACATTTAGGTGTTTTTTTAATCACTTCAACTGTTTTTAGCAGCAGTAAAGACCCAAATGGGAGTTTAAAAATGTGCAAAATGAGAATTTTGCTATTTTTTTTTTCATTTTTAATCTGATGTTAAAATCAAGTAACATCAGATCAAAGCATTACGAAAACTTGAGATGACAAATCCATAACCAGCTTGTCTATTTCTGCTATTGATTATTTAGAGCATGACTAACTCAGACTGAGATCAGCTGAATGACTGACAAAAGAAACTCAAGAAGTGCATGATGACTTGTTCTAGACAGCATGGAGCCATATGAGCGGCCTCGTGTCCTCCTCTCAGAGCCAAGGCCAGACAGAAGCCGTGCGAGTCCTTATTCTGCCATATGGACGGTCGTCCCCTCACATACACACACGCCTACACTAAAGTACAGGAGCACGGAGATGATGAGAGAAGCAGTGTCTGCTGGGATGGCGTGTGCTGACTACAGACCGTCTACTGTGCTGAACTGCAGCCACATTTTTCATTCACCGTCACATGGAGCTGGAATTTTGAGCCACAACAGCAACATAAAAGAGATCTGCATGTTCCCTTGAAAGCCTGGGGCAAGATGTGTCCAAAAACGTATAGACCTTCCTACAGCCAAGGACGGACTTACAAAGAAGCTGATTCAACGCTGATAAGATAAACAGTCCACTATGTGGAGGATCTGAACCCAGATCAGAGCAAAAAAGAAACCTAGTTTCCTCAGTATTCTCAGAAGGATAATGCAGTTAAGCAACAGGTGGCCTGGAAATTACTAGCGGTGCTATCTAAGGCATGCACACCCTGCTGTTTATTGTCGCGCAGGAACAATCTGACAACTTCCAGACAAAATTTGAAATAACTGTTCAAACTTTCACACAACTCAGCAGGTTGTGGAGTCTCCAATCTGTTAAATGAATTAGCAAGTTCACACCAAAAAGATTTAGCTATCTTTAGTTTTTTGTTTTTTTTCCACTCAGAATCTTTCATCGAGGAGCAATTAGCTCACTTCCTGCCAAGTCACAGCTGCGAACATATTTCAAAAGAGGCACGTAAGAAATGTAAGCCATCTTGTTACTTTTGTAAAACATCAGAATGTCTTGTAGTCATAGGGAAGACAAAGTTTCCAACCCCCCTCAGCAGCAATTACCACCCAATCCTCCCCTCCTCCAGGTTCTCCTGCAGGGGGTTTAACAGCCTGGTGGTTCACACCTCTCCACAATGGCCACATCAGGGGGTCCAATGCTCTCACCTCGGGATAGAGAAGCTGTTGTCTAAAGGGAAAAATGGTGGTGAAGGGGGTTGCAGCTGTCTGAGGGCCAATGTCCAACCCAATCCAGAACTTCAGGCCCTTCCCACACAAACAGCTCCCTGCAAAAGTATTCACACCTCTTGAACTCTTGAGCAATTTGCCACAACATGACTGCAAACTTCAGTCCTGATGCATTGCATTAGGATTTTAGATCATAACATAAAACACAAAGTAGTGACATGGAAGGATAATTATATGTAGCTCTGAAAAGAATTACAAATAAAGGTTGGGAAGGTGTTGTATTCTGCACCTCTCTTGCTCTGATACCTCTGAAGTAAATGTAGAGAACATGTGTCAAACTCAAGGCCCAAAACAGGACCACAATACACTCCATAGGGCCAATAAAACCTTTAAGATGATATTTGTGTGGTTAAATATTATCTTATTAATCAAATCAAAGCAGTTTTTACATATTACCAAAATGCATCAATGTGAAAAGATGTACTCGTTGAGTGGAGAGGCAGCTGTTTATTAATGGGTAGTTTTAAGAGTATTTCCCAACTGCAAACCTACCAAGACTTGGTCATCTACCTAAACCGAGAAGCTGGACAATGAAAGTGATAGTCAGCAGCCAAGAGGTCAGTGGTAATTCTAGAGCTGCTGCATAGAGTCGCATAGTATCAGGTAGAATACGTTGTGCATGGCGAAAACTGCTAAAAACACTAGAAGTCTTTTTTGAGGTTTTCCATAAGCAGTGTGGAAGATAGCAATGACGAATGGAGTTGAAAGCAGTAATGTGGCTGGACTGAAGGTTCACCTTCCAGCCATGAAAGCAACTAAAAAGCAACTGGAAATCAGAAATACTTGAAAATTCCTGTTATCAGATGCATTCCATATAAACTGACTGACATTGAGTTTTGGGGGTTTTTTTGCCAAAAGCAAGGGGGAAAAATTATGACTGAAGCCACAATTGCAGCCAAAGGCCATTCAATAAACACCATTTTCTCTTACTTCTTACCAGAATTCCTTAAAGTTTATTGCTCTAAAGCAGTGGTTCCCAAACTTTTTCTGGGCCCCCACTATGGATTGCAAATGGCTGTCTGGTTGAACGACGCTGTGAGTGGGGGGGGAAGGATTCTTAGAGACTCCCTGTCTCTAAGAACGGGTGTGAGGGAGGGGGAATCGACTTTTTTGGGGGGGAAATGAATGTACATAGCTGAATATAGACAACAACATCGGTAGCCTACAGGCTACTTGTTAAGCTTAAGGTGAGGCATTGATATTAGCTAGTCATCTTTTAGCTAACATTACCAGCATTCAACAGCTTGACTCAACTCAGTCGGTTAGTTTGGGGGAAAAACTGTGAAAAGTTCTTTGCGTTTTGCTGCCATGATTCTAACACACCTGAGCAGCTCTGCACAGCAGCAGCAGGTCTCCTTCACAGGTGTAAACCCAGCGCGAGCATCGTAGCGCTCATGTTGCGTTTAAATGCGGCTCGGAAAAACAGGTTACGACATGTTAACAACGGATTAAACAGTTTTAACTGCTGATAAAAGTGACAGAGGACACAGATATGGGAAGTGTGGAAGCCTCTACTGTATCAAATTGATATAGGAATAACAGAGAGTTGGCCATTCTAAGGTAAAAACCCAGTGCATAGAGCATTCATGTATTTTTTCATCCAGACGGCTTCCCGCGCCCCCGCTGCAATGGCACGGCGCCCCCCTAGGGGGCGCGCCACACAGTTTGGGAACCTCTGCTCTAAAGTGTCAAAATGTGAAAAGTTCAGTGGGTTTGAACTCTTTTGCAACGCACTGCACAGAGAAACACAAACCCACATGTCATTTTTAAAAGCCTTCTTTCTTAACTTTGCTGACTACACACAGGCTGACGTCATGCACTGTACTGGTTGCCATATAAAGGATAGCCCTTCATCAGATTACCAGTGATGTGAGTCATTTGTGTGAGAGCAGGAGGCCAGAGTTAAAACAAACCAGCCCCACAGGCAGACACAGATTTAATCCAGCAAAGCATGAGTCAGGAAGACCCCAACCCACAGCCAAATCATATAACTGGGCATTCCCCAAGCAAAGCAGCAGAAGATTCAGATGCCCTTTAAGCACATCATCAACTAAACTGACATCTTTTTAAGTGAAAAAACCACATACTGTAATATAGAAACTCTTAAAGCATTATTAAAACACACAAAATGTTCCCAACCACCAGCCTGTTGCCAATGGATGCACATAATGTTCAATAAAGAACATTTCAGCTGCATATTAGAAGGCTAGTAAGTATTAGGCACAAACAGTCATTGAAAGACCTCCTCCAAAAGAAAACGGTAAACAATTTCAGCCATCAGACAAAGGCTTTCTTTGTCTGCACGCATCAAGGACCTGGATGAAGAAAAGCTTGGCAACCCAAATATACAAGCTGTGCTCCTGCAGCTGAAACATCCACTGGTTCGATTTAGAAAAAGACCCAAAGAAAGAGACACCAGAGAAAACAATAACAAAGTTGGAGTCGATGTTGCAAAAAGAAAGGCTTTAAAAACGACAAGAAAAATGGCAGCAGATTTAGCAGCCAAGGGAGTCCTTGATCCAAAGTCAATATTAGCTCAATTCTAATCCTATTTGAGAGGGTAACCTCTCGAAGTTCCAAATGTGGTCAGTCAGAGCTCTGTTTACAATAGTCATGGTATCTGCTTCAGTTTCAAATTGCCCCTTGGCTAATTCCTACCATTTAATACCCAAACTTTGCTATTTTTCCCTTCCCTCTTCCATCTCCATAGATGTAAACAGATAAATTTGTAGCCATGACGTTGTGCAGTAACTCTGTGACCTCTTGTTAGTGGATGTCACACAATGTGTTCTTGAAGCCACATTTCCTTACCATACCAATATTAGTAATAAAAACACTGACAAAAGATTTTTTTAAGTGCTCGCACTGTAAAAATATGTATTATGCTCATAATTATCTGCAAGACCCCATCAAGAGTTTGATTGGTGCTCTACTTTGGGATCATATATTCTCATAAGTGTTCCACAAGAATCCACAATATCACTCATCTTTTCTGAAAATAATATAGAATTAAATAAATTACAATTAGATATGATTAAAAACAGACCGACGTACAAAACCAGGTCAGTCACTCACTATCAATTCCTTAATAGCAATTATAGAGAAAAATGCTTATGGTAAGACTTTTGGTTTTTCTTAGATAGAAATGTATGAAGTCAACAGAAAGTATCTTGCTGCTCTTTTCCCCTTTGTGTATTTGACCAGGCCTGTAACACACAGTTCACCGAAGCTATCCTCAGGCGTTCCACCATGGTGGGCCAACTATCAGTGTCCAAATTCAATTTCATGACTCAGGCTGAAGGGCATGACAGACCCACATATATAAACTTGTTATCAAAAATTAGCATCAGAGCTGGAGAAAGCAACCCTTTGTCTCTAAGTATTTATGGAGGGAGAAGTGTTTTCCTTCTTCTTTTCACATCTACATCTGCTATCCTTCTTGTTTCTTACACAGATTTTGCCAATTGCAAGGATCTCAGACCGCAGCACAAGTACGATTATTTCTACTCGTTGTCTTTGGTACTCAAAATAAATTTTGTTATCAAAGAGCTGGATAATAAATCAACAACAACATATATTGCAATAGAGACATGGTCAATATCAATTCATAATATGTTTGATAGAATATTCAGTGTTCAATATAGAGTATTCAATGAACTCTGATCCAGAGCTGCACGGCATTCTGGGAGATGTAGGCAGAGGAAAGTCTTTAGCTGCTCAACCTCTCACAGCCAGCTAAGTAAGGCTTCTGGAATCAACTAACTGACTCACTCTCTGGTTACCTAGCAACTCACTCTCACTTTGGTTACCTAGCAACGACTTGGTGAGTAACTGACGCAGCAGCAGTTTAGGATTCCGACACTTTGGCTCTTTAACTGCTTAAAAATAAAACGGCGTGCAGTGAAAACTGGATAAAAGAAGAAAGGCATGTCAGATATTTAATACAAAAACAAATCAACAATGATCAAAACTCATCTTTTATTGTCCAGCCTTAAAGTTAATTAACTTTAGAAGAGTTGTTTCAAGCACATTAACTGTTGCTTCAAATAGAAATAACTCAAAAGACAGAGGATTCAGAGTTGATTAGTATTTACAGCGGTGGGAGCGGTTATAAAAACTTTGAAAACCACTTTGCTAGAGCAACTTGAATTAAATACGTTTTTAAAAAGGCACAATAATTTAATCAACATAACTGGGTTTATAGAAACTTCCCCTGGCACAAAGAAACTTTTTCTGCAACCCTGAACTGACCTCTGTGGCTTCACAGCTACTCCCCCACTCCACACTTCTCCAAAGCGTGGGTGTAGATGATGTGTCGGTGAGAGATGAGATAAAAGCAACGCACTTCACGTCTGATACGTTTTGATGAGTAAACCTTGGAAAAACTGTGGATGAAAAGTGGCAGATATCTGTGGTTTGCAGATAAAGGAATGAGTCACTGACTTAAATCTGCCTTCTAAGACTTTTTTGTTTGTTTGACTTGTGAATGCATATCACTGAAAGGAAAATTACAGGGCAATGAGCTGTAGGAAATTTCTGTGTTAGAACATTACTCATGTTTATACCTGGGGTCTTCAGCCTGAGGCTCCGGGGCCACAAGTGGCTCTTCAGACAATAATGAAGAAACTTTGGTTAAAACGGTAAAGAACCAACTAAAACACTACAATATAGATCTTATGACAATATGTTTTGGTATTTAATGTAATACTAAAAAAGTATTTACAACTTCTTTTCAGACTTTTTTAGGCAACTGCATGTTCCTGCAGTCAAAGCTCCACATGAGGTCCTCATATTTTCATATTGATGCTCTAATGGAACCAACAGTAGGGGAAACAGTATAAATAACTCTGACAGTACAGTCTGTTTATAGGGTTTTCGAACATCATCAATTGGAATTTATAGCCGAAACGATAAATCTAAATTCTTTCAAGACATTTTTCACAAAAAATGCCCGTTACTAATAGATATACAAACAAAAGCTGGTTTTATCTATTTATGAAATAATTACATTCAATTTACACAACAGAATCACTTTATTTATACTTCAGTATTTTTTATTTTATTTTGAAAATAGTTTTTATGTTGTTTTCCACAAATAACATCTTATTGAAGAAAATGCATCCATCTTCTTTTTGTAAAAGTTTAAGTAAAATCACGATTCTTAATTTATTACAACAAAATTCTATAATAGACATTTAACTGAAATTATATGGAGGATGCGTTTGTATAAACACCATTTGGAAATCTCTCACAGTAATGATACAAAAGACCATTTTACTGACCAAAACAATGATAGTTCTAGAAAGAAAATGATGAGCAGATGTGTGGCCATCGACCACTAAGGTGGCTGCAAGTGTTGTTTGTGAGCATAAAGTTTAGAAAATGATTTCTTTTGAAGTAGTTTTAAGTGTAGCCTGCCAGGACCCAACGTCACACAGCAGCATTAGGTTAAATAAATTACTTTTTCCTAAATATAATTTTTCATGTGAAGTTGCAACAGTTAGCTTCAACTTAGACTTTTTTGTTTGCATCTAAACCAAATGAAGTTCTAATGTTCTTCCCAACCTTTGGCTTGAAGTAATTGTTTTTGGGCCAAGATAGGCTGACATAATTTGAGTAGAATAACAGACAGTGTCCTTGAAATAACATTTAGAGTGTAAAAAGGTAAAAAAAAAAAAAAAAATTAACTTAATTTCCCTTTGGAATCCAAAAGTATTTTGGAATTGAATTGAATTATGGAGAAATGTCATAATCATAATATAAAGTTGGTTTACTCTGTTGAATTGTTTGGAGGAACGTCTTCAAAATGTCAGAGTTCTCTGACATTTCTCTTGATTTTCTCCTCTTTGCTGAAGAAATAGCCAATGAAATATTTTGTTTATGAACTCAGAAAGTGGAGACTTTCTTCACTACTTTTGGTGAGTAAAAGTACTGAACGCCATCCCTCTGTTCTACTTCATCTACATTCTCTGAACAAAGCTCTGGAAATGAATAAAACTACTGCGAGCTACAGGCCTAAACACCCGCTGACAGGCGAAAAGTTGTAAAAGCAATGATATATTCCATTTAAGTGTGATGATTCAACTGTAAGAAAGTTAAGATTAAGTCATCGGTAAAATGACGTCTAGTGTGTCTGGGGCTGGAAGTGATGAGGAGAGGGGCTAGACAGTGGGGGGAGGTCTGGGCGATGGATGAATTAAAAAGCCCTGCAGAATGACATCAGCATAAGAGGGAGTAAGGAGCAGGATGAGGGAGAGGGGAAAGCTTTATGCAAACAACTGTCACCTCTTAAATCATACCGTCCTCCTACGGCCCTCGTTTCCCAGGAAGAAAAATTAGCACCACTAGGAAGAGGGTTTTAAAGAGATAAGTAGGGGAGATGCGGAGGTGGAGTCTCCCACATGTCTTAGGGTCTGCCGTCCTGAGAATTGGGGAGGAGAAACAGGGAAACCGAAGCTGATGCTGGCGGCCCACACGCCACAAAGCCCTTTCTCCAATCCCAGCATGCCGGCTGGTTACACAGCACTCAGCAAGTCTGCATGTCTGAGTGAAACTTTTGTTAATAATAACTCAAAACAACATTCAAGGTTTCCCTATGCAAGATAGTGATTCAGATGCATAGACACCCACTGAAATTACAATTTGTCCCCCCCAACCCATCCATTTCATGCTATCCACAGACCACTGGGGTATTAGATATGACCACAGGCATGTATGCAAGAGTTGAAATTCCAAAAATGACTGATGCCAAAACCCTTTCAGGAAGAATGCTGAGACAGTCACTGCATGCCGAGTGCCACAGGGATCACATCTCCTCTGAGCCAAGAAGCATCACGGAGAACCGGATTACTGAATGTAATTAAGATTAAAAGGTCAAAAACTAATTTCACTCTGTTGGATAATAAGATTATCCCTCTGACAGACTTTAAGATAAATGGTTCCTCATTCAGGTTCGTATCTTTTTTGTCATGACCTCGCCTCTCCTTCATACTGTAATCATTTTAGTTTTATTCCAAGAGTCATTCAATCAGGGCACCAGTCTGCTTCTCGGGAGATATTAAATTACAGTCAGTTGTGTTCGCTGTGAGGGTGTGGGTACGCGCAGGACATGTGCCCATATGCGCGCAGTTGTAAACTTGGAGCCTAAACTAAATCTGAATTATGTTTATTAAATCTGGCTGTGCTACTTTTGACAGGAAATTAGAGGCAAAGGCTTCAACAGAGCTGAATGGAAACTTCACTCACTGACTGTGCGCAACACAGAGTTCAGTTGAAGACAAAACTCCACATTTTAACTTTCTTGTACGTTTATTATTATTATTTGTAAGACACTCACCTGGCAGATTCAGACAAATAAAAGTCAACAGCATATCCGAAGTAGCTCCCCTCAGGTCCGCTATAAACAGCTGGGTTCTCCACGTCCAGGTTGAACGCTTCGCACGCAGGCCGAGAGAAAGTGGCCAAAAGCCCGATGATACAGAGGGACGAGCGGACGACAAAGGCTGCGGTCCCCGGCGTCTTTACGCGTGATCGCTTCGAGCCCATTGTTACCACAGCAATAATCCACTAAAGTTTGGTTGCAACACAGTCCGAGCTTTCAGTTTAACTAATCCGAAGATGAATCCCGAACAACTGTAACTTAAAATGGCATCACTTTGACGCTGGCCGGGCAGGATCTCATTAATGCTCCGTCAGCTCCTCAGCTGCGTCCTTTCGCCTTCACCCCCTCTGATTCTCTCCAGACGCACGCCCACTCTGCTCACCTAATCACCACGACACGCAGGGAGTTCCCACAGCAAAGTTTGGAGAAGGAGGAGTTTGTGATTCCCTAGAAAGAGAGGAGAAAGAAAGAGAGAAATAACTCCTGATCCACTAACCCAAACTTTACGAGGGTGGTCAAAGTGTCGCCGGGGAGATTATTACCCGACTGAACAATGGATCCCCAATCTTTGCTATTGATTTTATCTTTCACTTATCCTGAGCTTCTTAGATCAAAGTTGTTTCCTGAGAACGAATCCTGATAAGTGATGGAAAGGTCAATGAAACTTCTCATCCAACCCAGCAACAACTCACCGTCACATGTCTGACCAGGCGCCCCTTAAACGTTGTTATAGGGCGGCAAACAAGTGACAGTATTGACACAATGCAAGGCAAAATTACTGGGGTTTTATTCATATTGTAGGTAAATCCATTTACTGCTACTTTATTGGCAAATCACATAGCAGCAACTCAGTTGGGCATAAAGGGGACTTGCTAAAATTCAAACTGAGTATTTGAATGAGGAAGAAAGTAGATTTTAGTGATTTTGCATGGTTGGTGGTGCCAGATGATCTGCTCTGGGTATTCCAGAAACAGCAAATATGGGATTTTATCCATCTTCTCATAGCTAATCTGAGGCTAATCCTTCTCAAACTGGTTTCTTCATAATAACTTGATCATGTTTCCCAGGCCTAAACGGACATATCTAAAGCATTTCTGACACCTGCACAGCATTTTAAATCTAAAATGAATAGACAAATGCAACAGTGAATTAGGGCTATTGCAGCCAGAAAAAAGGAGTACATTTTCTTTAAAACAAAAAAAAGCATAGAAAATTTCAAGAAAATATCAAGAAAATTTCTGAGTTTGTAAAGTCAAAAACTTGCTAGAAAAGAATCTGAAATTTTAAGATTAGTCTCAGAAGATTTATAGAATAAACATAGAAAGCTCTGAGTTTAGAAAGTCAAAAAATGCTAGGAAAAAAATCAGAAATATTTAAATTAATGTCAAAATTTCAAGAAAACAAATGGAGATTTCTCAGTTTGAAAAGTCATAAAACTGCTAAAAAGATCTTTTTTTAATTAATATTAATCTCAGAAAAATTCAAGAAAACAAGGAAATTCATGAGTTTCCAAAGTCAAAAAATTGCTAGAAAAATTTTTCAAACTTTAAGATAAATCTCTGAAAATTTCAAGATTTCAACATGGAAATTTCTAAGTTTGAAAAATTGCTTGAAAAATCTCATAAATTTTCCTAAGTAATAAAATATCAACTTTTGAATCTCAGAAATTGTAATGCTTTGTCTAGAAAATTTCTGACAATCTAAAGATTTCCTTGTTTTTTCTAGTAAATTTTCAACTTTTCAAACTCAGAAATTTTATTGGTTCTTCTAGAAGATTTCTGAAATTGATTTCCTCTCTTTTTTTTACATCTAATGGTCCTAATACACCATCGTAGACATCTCATCAAACATGTAGTTAAAATGTTCCTGGACGTTTGATAGAATGGCTTCATCAAGCCTGAAATTCAACATATGTATTTAATCAAAATTTTGACAAGAGCTATGGGTCAAAGCAATCACATTTTCAACTCATTTTCATGAGCTAAATAAAACTTAACAAGCCACTCAGAGAGGCTCATGGAGATCCGGAGTTTGGGAGGAAAACATTTACTTAAAAAAATTTCCAAAGCCAAAAGTGAACCAACTACTACTTCACTTCCAAAATTAAGACCTAAAGCAATGAGTTATATCTGTACAACTCCATACTAATTAGTCTTTTATCAGCCAGCGCGTGAGCCATATGTATTTCCGCGTAATTACAGTGTGGATGTGACTGTGAATGTGTCCGAGTGCTGAACATGGGAGGGGGTGTGGGAAGATTTCTAACTCCTGCTTCTGACTCACACCAGACGGAGGAAAGTGGTTAGACTGCAGAAAACAAGTGCTCCCTCCAACGAGACCTTTAATAAACCAATCCAGGCCTGCTGGAATTAGTGACTGTTGGTTTAACCGATTCATACGAAGCGTCGGCGATTCGACGCTGCAGGGGCCAAATTTGGCTGTGTGGCAGCAGCAGCAGCAGCAACATGAACTCTTCGTCGAGCTTTTGCTCGTATTTATAACCCGACCAAGTGGCTGGACGCGCAAAGAAAAGCACGACTGGAGAAATCCGGGGCGTCTGGAGGGGCCGGTCCACAGCTGTCGGGGGCACTTGATGGTTCAAAGCCCTAATCCAAGAGGGGGGTCTCGTTCACTTACTCTGTTTTTAGGTTCTCAAGATGCAGATTGTAGATGAATTGTGGAAGAGTTCAAGCTGTGGTTGACTGAAAGATCCATCATGTTTAGCCATTAAGCTGATTTGTGGTGGAAAGTTTCCATCCAGTGTCACGGCTTGATATTTTTTAGAAGTGCTACGCCCTGCAAACCCTGAAAAAAAGAACATGATGTTACATCAGCCACACAGGGATGGTTTTTATTTACTGTACCCAGCAAAAGTATTCACACTACAGGAACTTTTCCAGATTTAATCACTTTATAAGGTCAATTTTACATTTATTTTAGGGTAATTGGAAAGTGGAAAAAGAAGGATACGGGCCTCTTTTACTCCTCACAAATTAGTTAATACCGTGAGCATTTGGGTCACTAATCCCATTATAAATGCAGCTTTTTCTGAAAGCCCAAGACAGGGGTGTCCAAAGTGCGGTCCAGGGTCCATTAGTGGCCCATCGACTGAATTTTCGTGGTTCACCAACTCCAACTTCAAGAACGAAATAATCTTTTTATTTTCAGTCGGCAAAAATTATTACTGATGTGTTTTTCTTGTAATGGAAAATGTTAAGTACAAAATGAAAAACATGAATCTTTTTCCAACCAAACTTTTGTAATAAGTAGAACCACATTTATCCATTGAGTTTTCTGAAAAAACAACTTTTCTGCACCCAACTTGGCAATTACAGCAAGCATGTTAAAAGAAAGTGACCCAAATTCTGTTCTTACACCTGAGAATAAGAATTTGTTCAACTGAGCCCAAAAGAATTTGAAAACTAAATGTCTTTCCTTTCACACAGCAAACATGCAAAATCCTTCTTAAGTGTTTGATCTACGATTTTCCTGCTGGATAAAAAGTAAAAATCGGATGACTTTGCTTGATTTTAGTTTTATCCATTTTCGAGTACTTTTCACTTGATATTATTGGCCCACATAACAAAAAGTTCGAAGTTTCCTGGCATAATTTGTTTATAAGTGTGAACTACTCCATGGAGATAGAAATAAATACAAAACAAAGACAATGGAGTGAAGATCTAATTTAATGCCGGACAAAAACCCTGACAGTAATGGCTTTGATAAAACATATTCGTGTGTGAATGGTCTAATCCAAGTCCAGATTTAAATTTCACTTTGTATATGTAGAAAGCTGGTTGAGGCATTTCAGAAAAGACTAGTTGGAATGAAAGACAACTCTACCAACTCTTCACTTGGAGAACTGAATACAAACAGATATTTATTTATTAAAAATATTTTAAAAAAAATCATTCATAATTTACCTTTAACTTCAAAATTAAGCATTATGTTGCAAGTGTCTGGCTGGAACTGGAAAAAAGTAGAAAGTTACAGTGTAATACTTTTTCAAGCACCACATGTTCATGCAGAGTGTCGCTCTGCATGAGTCCACTTCAGTTACAAAACCTCATGACCTCATGGTGAAAGAGGGAAGCCAAACAGTTTTGAAACAGCTAAACCGATTTCTGTTTTTCTCCATTGTCTTCTCCACCCTCCACCAGATTGAACAGCTGTCATGCTATCTATTAACCCACAGAGATTCATTTAAACTGTAAAAGATAAGATTTTTAGATAGGGGAAATATTCCTTTCAAGTGCTTTCTCTCTTCTTTCTCTGTGTATGTGTGTCATCCAGTAGCGGCTAAACCTACACATCAGAGAAAACAAGTGGGTTCGTTTATTAAGTAGATTATGTGCCCAAGGCCAGAGCCTGCTCTCTTCTTTTTGATTTGCTCTGGCTAACTGAACACTATTTTCCGTCCAGTCCTTTCCGTTAAAAAAGTGGGTGTGCTTTTATTCCAATGCCTTGGCTTTGACATCATCAGCAGCCATGGCAACAGATCTGAAGTGCAGCAAAACACTTGTAGAACATTTTGCGAGATCCAGCTGGCCAACTATTTTAAATATAGGAATGACACAGAGGTTTTTCATACGGCCTGGTACATATATATAAATATATTACAGGAATAAAAGTATGCAAACACTCAAAGCCGTCTTGCTCTGTTAACGTAGCAGGGCGGAACATGATAAACACCTAAAACCACCGGAAGATGACTGCTTGCTACTATTTCACACTTTGTTGTCAAGTTATAAACATGTGAACCCAGTGCTTTCAAAGCAAGAACTTCAGATTTGCATTCTTCACGCAATATATTTTTAGGACAGAACATTTCCTGCTGAAAGGCAAACCTGTATCTGATGTTTTCATGACAGTCTGGACAACACAGGTCGGATTGTTTTTACGATTATCCAGGTTACTTGGATATCCGATACGTATCCGATCGTTTTAAATGCGAGATATATATATATATATATATATATATATATATATATATATATATATATATATATATATATATATATATATATATATATATATACATATATATATATATGTATATATATATATATATATATATATATATATATATATATATATATATATATATATATATATATATATATTCTAAATATAT